TGCTGCTAATCACCGGGCTGATGGTACTGTCGATAAACTTTAACATCACGGGCGAAGATGAAGCAGTCGTCACACAATGCCAACTATCGTTTACCCAGTTGGCCGATAAGTCACAATCTTCTTATCAGAAAGATGAATCGTCTCTGCTTTGCTTTCTCAAGCTGCTGACTTCGAGGCTGCAATCATTTAATCTTAACTGCTCTCCAACCACTTTGACGAGGAAGGTCGAGGCTACGATATCGTCACAATCTGTTGCTTTAGCCCGCGAACGAGATGGTACCCAAGCTGCAGACGAGGAATGATGACAATCTTAACTACTATCAGCTGCGAACGTGATCGATATCACACAATCTTAACTAATAAACGGTGAGAACGGGGCCGGTCGTCTCACATCTTAACTGCAATAAAACACGAACGAGGAGTCGAGGAACGTCGTCACACAATCTTAACTTCCGCAGACGATGAACTTTATCAGGATCTGTCTTTAACTTTATGGCCCGGAGCGAGTGGCGAACATCAGTACGAGTCGGAACCGGTCACACAACGCATCGGTACGAACACGGTCGAGATGTTTGTCTTCATTGCTAGCTCCGGGTGAGCAGTCGAACGATCACTGTCTTACCGCATGGGTGAGGTGAAACGATCACAATCTTAACCTTTATCGAAGACGAACGAGGTGGTCGGCAACGGCGGGTACGAACTGGAGGAAGGAACCTATTTTAATCTTTAACTGCTTATCGGCTACGAACGTAGTGAGCCGGTCGAATCACCCCAATCTTTAACTACTGGCGAACACGAACTGACGGTCGTTGACCTGACCTTTATTCGGGCGAACAGTATCACAATACTATCGGCTGGTGGAGGCCCGATCGATCTTTTGTCTGAATTGATTGTCGAGATTTTGAACTGAGAATTAACCCGGTCGAATCTTTACAATCTTGCTACTATCCGGTATGTGGTGTGATGAAACGGTATCGTCATCCTTATCTTCCAACTTTATCGGGTACGAACGAAGACTTGGTCAGTTGATAACAACCTTTATCGTACAAACGGTGTGAATCACTGCTGCTGTCGAAGATTTTGCGGCGTAATTAGCCGTCATGCGCAATCTTGGCTGTCGGGCTTTTGGCGGGGAAGTGGTCGGTGTACTTTTTGTCTTAACTGCCGAACGGCAGTGAGAACCCGATGAATCTGATAACAACCTCGAAACGAACGAGGAGATGAAATGCTGACACTAATGACACGGACGGGGAGTGAGAATTTCCGTTCGATCGCGCAACTGCTATCCCAAACGACCAGAGCTGTCTTATCGAACTGGACGGCTGATCGATGACGACTAACGACGGGAAGATGAGAACGATAAATGCTGTTATCATTTTACGGGCGTGGTCGAGTCGAATCAATCTGTACTATCTTTTTGAACGGGGAGTGAAGACGAATCTTTGTCAACATCGGGTACGGGCGGGAGAAGGAACCCGATAGAAGATCTTTTACAATCTTGTGCTTGTGGTACGAACGAGGAGTGTACCGCATCGGAGGTGAAGGCGATGGTCGCAATCTTGGCTTACTAACAAACACGGGCAGTGAACCTGTCTTAACATTTATCAGCTAATCGTCACTGTCTTAACATCGGTGCGGTAGAATGAACCGTTCGAATCGTCGCGGTGGTGAGGCGATCAGGTCACGTCTTGAGCCCTTTATCGGTACGAACGAGGAGATGAGGAACAAAGTCACTGATAACGCTTTCTCGCGATAAATCTGGGCTAACTGCTAATGAACGAGTCGAGTCGAATCACAATTGCTGACGAAGATGAACCGGTCGAGATCTACAATGGCACTATCGAAAGGTGAGGAAGTGAGGAACGATGGATGACACAATCTTTGTAATAAGTGAGGAACGTCTAACAACGAAGGGTGGAACAAAGTTTGAACGCAGTCTAACTGCCCCAGAAACATGGAAGCTTTGGAAGTTGAATCGTAATCACTGCCGGAAAAAACAACGTACTGTATCTCTACGGTGACTAAATCATTTTCGAAGTCGAAAATGCTACCAATACGCGTACTGACGACCGAAGCTTTGAATTATCGAAACGTCATATCTTCAGTAATTGCAGATATAATGATAGCGTAATAGTGATATTTCAATGCTGTGCGCACTAAAGACAATGTTTTCCATGCAGCAGAGTATGGTATAACGTGTCGTTTGTCATGTATTGAAGACGCTGAAGACCTATATTGATGCTCGGTGGACACTGACTCAACTGCAAACTGGCGCGTCTGTTCGCGTTCGGTAGAGACGGTGGGTATATTCTGTGCGTGTTGATGCTACTGGAACGGTAATGTTGAGCGTCGTAACTGTGCGCTTTATTATTCTGTCGCTGTTTTCACGATGAACAATTTTCTTTCATATCGACATTTTATTCGTCCGCCGGACTTCGGCTTCGATAAGGTGAATAAACCTGGAATAACAACAATTGACTGAACGAACGGAGTTAGGCGTCGTATAACCCTCGTCATGGATATCCGGAATTTGTCGAAAATCGACGGTGTTTGTTTGCGTGACATCACCGGTAGCTATTGTCTTTGTTGAAACTGAACATCGATGTTGGCTGTATCGTGTTCGATGCCAGAACGCAATCGATGGTCGTTCGTGTTTATTCGAAGTTTCTGATGCTGATGCGAAAATAACGCCAGCATAATCAATTCATTCAATTCGGTTTCTATCAGGATTTCATCGGCGAGTTATTTACCCTGGTACTGCCGGGGTATGTTCAACGAAATTGGCGCGGATGTTCAACGGTAAAAACGTTTTGTTACATACGAAGATGTGTTGGCAACCCTGAACGCTCGGACACCCTCTGAACCGTCGGTGACATGTCCGGTAGAACGGTTATTGAGCACTGACACGGTGACTGATACAATGTTTCTGTCTGTTGATTACGAACGGGGCGCTAAAGACGAATGGTGCGTCATTGAAGATGCGCGAATCGTTACCCAATGCGGGCTGCCGGGTATGCTGAACAGGCGGACGCGATAAGAACGAAGATGCGCGAACGGCACTATCTGGACCTTCGGTGCAATAAATTGCGAACGTATTCACCTTCGTCTGGGCGAGCCTTCAGTGCCCAATTCAGAGGGTACTGAACGTACTGTTGAACGGAGCCTGGTGCGCAATGCGAGGCTGATGCCGGAACTGATATGAACGGGCCTGGGTGTTATGAAACCTGATGCTGCTCGAACGCAATGCGGGAATTGCACGGCAATTGATATTTCCCGAATAAGATCTGAAGCGGAACACGGTACCAGGGCATCGCGGTGTCTTCAATCGTTATATCGAAAACGACGACTGAAAATGAACATGAAACTGTCGTGAATATTTGATGCGTCATGTGGCTTTATGTTCGCTGTAAATGTCAAATAGCATGGATCATATCGTCGTTGATCGAGCCTATTGGGCTTCATTGGAATCCATATGATAATTACCTTTGCAACGGCGTTGAGGACAATGATAACGATCGGCATGTCGGCGTCAAATGTGCTTTGTCTGGTAATCAGGCGGTATGTCTTAGCTACAATGATGAAATCTTCCATGATCGAGACCTTCGTGATGATTCTCCCGAAAATGAAACGGATAAAATTAACATTTCATGTGGCAATGAACAAAACGTGATTCGACAAAGGCGCTCTATGGTCTATGTTGTTTATGTTTGCGACATCTGACAAAGCAATCCGTAATTTGTGGCATCATTCAATTTCGGCGTCAATGTCTGGAAATGAATGCGCATGCGATACACGGTGACGGTTGATTCGTGTCTTTCAATGATGAATTATCAGGTTGTTCTATCGATATTCACTGGCTGACTGAATATTGACGAACCCGAGCATAATCTTCGTCTGTGGCAAATAAATTGCCCTATTGTCTCAACGATGCGTGAATGTTAGCAATAAATAACGTT